AAAAAGCACATTTTCTGATCTTGCTTGGAGAGGTCACTCCAGCCCTGGATCCAAAAACCATGGGTGGGCTGCTGCCAGGCGGGACATCCTGCACACCTGCCCTGTCCTTGGCCACACATCCACGCAATCCACCTTCTTCAAGTGCTAGCACAGCTGTAATGCAAGTCAGGTAAGGAGCTGATCTCACCTTTTTTCCTCCCAGATTACTTTTCCCTCAGGTTGCTGCACAGATTCAGCTTGCAGCACTGCTACATGAGAACTTTTGCCAGCACAAGGGAAGGGACAGAAATGCATGCAAGAGAAGGCCGGGTTGGAGGAGACAAGACCACATCTAGTGTGTACTTCAGTCATCTCGGAGTGATCACAGACACTCCTAACTCTAAGATACTCCATGACACTTTTCGCAACCACGCCATTAGATTCCCGTCTCAGTAATTACTGTATTAATAGCTATTTGATCTTTAGTTCAAAAAAAGTTACTAGATCCTTATCACACACAAAGTACTTGTGTACTGCCAAAGACAAAAAGGCAATTTCAGCGCTCCGCCGAAAGCACAAGGAGCCGTTCAGGAGCGGCAGGCCACAACGGGATGCGCCTCTGCTCCTCCGCTCCGCCGGTATCAGGATCGTCCCTGGGAGACCTTCCCGGCTTGTGGGAGCAGCCACAGCCCGCTGCCCAACCCAGCCAGCCCCCACGCTGGATCCCCTGGCATCGGGGGGGGGGGGGGGGGGGGGGGGGGAGGGACACGGACACAGAGAAGTAGCTTTTCGAGCATGCATGTGCACATACATACGTACACACACCTATTGCTAAATACCTGCTATTTTGTCGTGTAACTGCTGTATTTCTACAGTACCTTTTGTATTTGTCTTACGTGGGTATTTAAGGAATTATGTTCTCCTTATCAATCCAGTTTTATTATACAGAAGGATCTTTGTTGCACACATATGCGTGTATATACAATATACATATATATGCCATATATCTATACAGCATCTCTGCACTTTAGATCATATACACACACACACACACACCCTTGTATCTTTCTCTAAAATGCTACCCAAACATCCCATTATTTAGCAGAGAATAAAAATCTTATCCAAAGCTTTTAAGCCTCCAGTACAGTGAAATTATATTCTGAAAAAAATAGCACTGAAATGTTTTGCAATACTATAAAAATAAGACTTTCATCTAATTTACTTTCCATAGAGCATAACTTGTTGCCCAGAAAGAAATTACTACTTTATCAACAACTATATTTGATATGATGTTAACTAAAAAGATCACCAGTTTCAGAATAGAATGAGGATTATTCTATTTTTTGCCCTAAACCTAGTATGGGAGTGAATACACTGGTATTTTGCCCAGCTTTCAAGGACACAAGTTAAACCAACAGCCCAAGTAAGTCTTGTAATTCAGTAACTATCTTTAGACTAGCAACTAGCACAAGCAAAATATGCCAAGAAACACCTTATTTAAATCCATGCACATTTAAGATCAGAAAAATGACATGCTACATGTGGAAACGGGCTGCATAAAATGGCTCAAGAATTTACTTGAACACACACACTCCCTTCCACCCTCACTGAGAGAATTATTTTATTTGGCTTTCTCAGGCAGAAACAGCAAAAGCCAGCATAGAACCTTGCCGTGCCTGCACACACACACCCCGGTCTAAAATCCTTTGGTGTGGCAGCTGTGTATGTTAAGACCCAGGAGAGGAGGCTTCACAGAATTTAATTGCAGGTGGGAAACTGGAATAACTTTGTAGGAAAGGAAGTTATATCGCTCCCCAGTGACTGAACAGCAGAAGACAAAAATGACTTCAAATACCAACACAAATTTCACTTCAGCTGCCAACACAGAGTTCACCCACTACATCATGAGCAACCACCCTACCCCAGGTCTGGCTGCCAGCACCTGTTGATTACACAGGTAATTCTGCAGTTACCCTGGGAGGAAATATGCTCGGGCTCAGGCAATTTGGCAACATCTACCTTATCTTGACTGTCTCTAAACTGTATGTTCCTCATTCAAGGCTGAGATTCCCATCTCTTTCCCACTGGGCCGCATTTCAGTGAAGACTGATAACAAAAAACACATTAATGACATCTACCTCCTAGGTGTTATTTGTCCAAAGTAACCAAATCTGTCCCCTTCACGGAATGGCAATTTCCTTGACTATCCGCTTAATGCTAGAGCACACATACAATTATTTCTTGCTACTTTTGTACCTTGTATCCTATTTTGTGCCATTATCTTCCTGGTTTTGCTGTGCTTCTCAGAGTAACCTGATCTTTTCTCTTCCTCTCTGCCGTCCTTCTTTCACCTGAGGTAAATGAATAACTTATTTTGAAAAGCTGCAATCTTACTATGTTTCTTATTTTCCATGCAAAGTGTAAAATTGTATATGTCCTTACTACTCATGTGCCTAAGGAATCTCTGCCCCCCTTTGGCTGTCTTATTTCTCAGACAAGTTTCCTTGAAAATGGTATCTTCCAGATATAACGTTTGAGTTTATTGAAGTCTACTTCCCTAAAATCCACCATTTCTGTTTTGCCAGTAGTCCTCCCAGGCTACCACCTCCTGAGCACTCTTGCCTATCTTGCTTTCTGCCTGAACAGTCTCAGTTCACTCCCCAAACCAAAAATCAAATCTAGAATACTTTCATCTTCAGTTATTGGGGTTTGATTTCCCCCCACACACACACACACACACACACACACACTTTGTATCAAAAACATCACCAGTGCCTTTCAAGGACCTGTTGAATAATCTGTATCCTGCTATATTCTTTTCCCAACAGAAATCTAGACAGTTAAAGTACTCTGTTATCACTAAATCCTGTACTCTGGAGGATTCTACAAAACACTAGTGAAAATCTCCATCCAGCTGGTCATCCTGATTTGGTGGCTGAACTCTGTTATAGTGGTCTTGAGTTTTTTGCCCCCTCATCACTGAGAAAACCTGAGCAGGTTTAACTCCCCTCTGCATTCTGCATCTCAGAATATGAGTACACCTTTAGATATCTGGACTCCTCCTTCCCCGGACAAAACTCCCTATTACCTTCTCTGACATGTCATATCACCTCACTTCTATTTCAACTAAATCATAATTTTGATCATGCATTAAGACTTCATATTTCCTCCCGCTTATTCCTTCTTACCATGGTCATACAAGAGGTCCATCAGATCGAGCCAACCATCTACATAGACTAGAATAACCCTGTACCTGTTAGTTTTTGTCCTGGTCCAAGACTGCTATATATGCAGTTAGGATTTTTTTAATCTTCCTTTTCTTTTATAGAAACCCCCTTTTTTACTAGGTTAGTGAACTGGTAAATTCAATGGTAACACACTTTTTACATTTTTCTTTAAGTATGCTTTACGCTATAGTCATCAAATTGTCCATTCTGTGACCACACACCTCTCTCCAGGACACCTGGAGCTGCATGAAGCTTAACTGGAAAACCCAATCCACTCACCCTGCTCTTAAATGCCAGCAGTCACTTTTGATCCATTCAGGATCACTTCTAGTACTGTGTTCACATGGGTGGGTAATATTGGATGGCCTCAATGAACCTTGGAGATTTTGAAGTATTGTATCTGATTTGGGATCCAAGCAGGCAACACATGACCTGGACTGTTATGTGAACAGACTGTCTCCTGAGATTGATGGAGAGTGCAATCATATATTGCTTCCTCCTAGGAGCAGTGGTGGTGAATCTTACCACCTATTGCCTACAGAAGCTTTCCCTTTCTGCTGTGGGTGGTGGATCTTCATTTGCTGCTAGGATGTTGGACTTCTTTTCTGATTTCAACTTCCTCATTTAGCATATTGTTGACTTTCATATCATCACTGATGATTCTCAGCCTGACCATTTTCCCCTGCAGATCACTTGTTTGTTTTCTAAGAGATTTCCCGAGGATACAATTCTTACAAAGCACTTGTCTCCTTTCCAATCTTTACTGGAAAGAAAATGTAGCAGACACCTCCCATTCACTTCAGTTCACAGCCTCTTTCTGAATGACCCTCTGCTACACACAAAACAAGGGCTGGGAGCCAATAAAATGCTGGTTCACCATACAACATGTTTAGCACTTTTTCCTTATAATGTGATACTTGTTAACCCTCCTTAAACTATATTTTTGCTACCGTTATTTTTAAAGCCCTCCCAAGAGCTTGTATCTTACTTGCTAGACTAGCAGCAGAAACAACTGGATTCAGCCTTCAGCTCCTTCGTATCTGGTAAGCCTATTTATCATCAGACTTTTGGATATCATGAGAGCTTTCATCTCATTTGACAAGACTGAGTACACTCAGGAAGCCTTACTAAACAGACCAGAAATACACATGGCATTTAAAAAAAAAAAAAAAAAAAAAAAAAAACCACACCCCAACACACAGCATTAAAAACACACATGGCATTCAAAAAAAAAAAAAATTGAAAAAAAAAAAAAAGAACCAGTTGCAGCATCTCTGAAATTATTCACACACATCAGGCTTAAGGAATAAACAGCCTGATAAAAATCACACAGCACATTCCAGAACACATTTACTTAGGGAAGCCATTAATCAATCATGATTCATATGAGCTACCAGTATCCCTATGTAGGAGGGAGATAGATGTCTGGCGATTTTGAATCACGACATAGCCTTGGAAACCCATTTTCCTTTGCACCAGTAAGCATATCAATTGACCGCTAATAGTTCCTAGTTCTTAAAACAATTACTTAAGCTATAAGCTTAAAATCCAAACTTTTTGATTTTATCAAGAAGTCTCTAATCATGCAAGGTATATCTTCCTTTTTTTCTTTTAAACCTATGTCTTCTGGTATTTCTTTTCTAAGACCTGTCCATTTCTTTTAGCCTTTATGTACACTGTAATAAATACGTGACAACCACTCATGGTCAAACCTATGTTAGCTTTCAGACAGCAATCAATCTCAGGTACCCTAGCATTATATATCTTTGCTCAGCTCAAGCACTTAGACATTAATTGAGGTTCATGGGTAGCTTTATTTGAATTTCATATCTTGAGTTGCGTTCTGTGATGCCACAGCCATGCACATCAGTTACTTAATAAGATCCCATTTGTGTTTACATAACCTGCAACCATACAGTCTTTCACAGAATATATGTGTACCCTTACTGCAAGCCACGAAAAGCAAACTCTCCCCAACTTCAAGAAAAACCCGTCAATCAACTTTTCCCCACTGTCTGTTGCAGCTCAGCCTTCAGCAATGCCACATCTCTGATCACGATGTCATCACTCTGTAGATTTTCCAGCTGGTCAAGAGTCTAACCACCAAAGGAGCCAAATGCAGACAGTGTCTTAGTCACAGAAATTCCTCATACTCCTAAAAAGTGAAAATACTCCTTAGAATTACACAACACTCTGTGATACATTTACTTCTCTTTTTATAAAACTCGGATTTTCTGTATAAGCCACTGTTCTTGTTGGCCTTTGTTTCAAGACCACCCAAGCCCATGCATGCAAGAATCTGTTTTGAAACCCAAGGAGGCCAACACAGCTGGTGTTAACCATGTCGATGCCAAGTCACATTCAAATGGATTTCCTTCTCCATGCACAAAAGCAGCTATTTTTAAAAACTCTAAAACTGCACACATCTGGGAGTGCTTACAGTACTAGTAATCCCTATATAGTATATGTTGTCATCACTAGTAGAAATTCCCCCTTCCTTGACCGTACGCCCAAAGAACACAACTTCTTTTTGAAGCATCTCTGGTTTATTTGGGCTTAATTTCAGATTTTTGGCCATAAATTTATCATAGATTGTTATTAACGTTTCAGTTCTGGAAGTTTCTGCTACACAACACAAAGTCATTGTACTATGCTATAAATACAGAGATATGTATGTCACACTGTATTCTTCATTATCCTACCTCTTTCAGCTCTTGCTGAAGAAACAAACTACGAGCAGGAGTCAGGGATAGTGAACACTCATGCTTCTTGATACATTTCTTTAATAACCTTCAACAACTCTTCTCTGATGGGGGTACTTGGTCAGATGGCTACTGAACAGTTCAGTGTTCAGAAAACAGCTCATTCTACTCCCATCCGTTACATCTACCTTGGCTTTTTTGTTCCTTGAAAAAAATACTACCAATATCCTGGAACAAGAGGTTTTTGTTCCCCTTCGTGCTTTTTTTCTAGTCCCACTTTTACCAGATCCACTGCTTCATCCTATGCAGCAACCCTCCCTTTTGTTTGATATTTGATGTTTGTGAGAGTTATTTGGCAAAACTGTCAGGGAGCTGTTTCTATTTCAAGGAATTCTGCTATTTTCATCCCACTAAAAAAAAGCTTCAAGACAAGACTCAACAAATCCCTCCTCTTCACTGAGCTCCCATTCATTATATCTAGCTGCCATTATGGTTTCTATCCCTGGAGCCAGGAGACTTTGTTCACTCTAAAAACAACTCTGAAGGCACACTGCTTTCATGCAATTTGCCTCACCGAGCCCACATCTGCATGAGGAACTTTCATGGACGAAATTTTAGGATGCTTTCTCTGTCACTTATTAAGCAGTTATTTATCATATTGGAATCCAATCCAACTATTACTTCAACACTTATTTTTGCTTTCCGGCTTTCTTCTTCAAATTTCAGAGGTCAAATCTGTAGGCTCAGTTATCTCAGTTTTGGATAAATACATGTTTATCAACCACCGCCTAATTAATTTCAAACAGAAGGATTCACATTGTGTCAGGGAGCAGTGAGGGCCAGCTGCTCCTTGAGGGAAGGCAATCCCCAAGCTGAAGATGACCCAGTGAAGGCAGTGTCCTCGCTGACCAGGGCACAGCCCCACAACATCTGAACACAGGACACAGAGCAGAGTACTTACGTGAAACAGGGGCCCCTGGCAGTTCCAGACAAGGTAAAGTGATGATCCAGGTCCAGAGTCCGTGCAGGCAGTCCAGTCAGGAGCAAAAGGAGACAGGACTGGAGATAAGGTTACAACACAGTTCCAAAGTCAATCCAGAAAATAAAGACAAGACCGAAGACAAACAAGCCAACACAACACAGGTCTGAGGTCCCTCCAGGAGCTAGAGGCACACCTGAGTCCTAAGCCTGAGCTGAAATGGGGCTTCTGGGCCACGGGCAGGTGTACGGGCAGAAGCCCCAGGTGAGGCCGGTTAGAGCTATTAAGGCCTATTGATGCTCTCAGAGCCCTGATATTTTGTAGTTTCTACTTATTTCTTATGTGTTTACTCCTTGGATTTCATTTTTATCACATCTCCTAACAGTCTTCCTTGCTTACAGTTACCATCCCAGTGCACTTCACAGCCAAGCTTGTGTTATTGTTCTCCAGCTGCCTAGACCAGAAATAAAATTTTAGGGTCACTCTTGAAGTTTTATTTGCTGCTTCTATTTTATATCTTCCCATTTCTCCGACAACTGAATGACTTTCATGCCTGACACTTGTGACTGTCAGCGCTACCCAAATTTAAAGGTATGCCTTTTTGTGTCCAGGTCGTTTTTTCTTTTTTGTTTTGTTTTCCACAGAATGACCAAATAACTGAGTTCAGGTTTTTTCCCTTAATTTTTCATTACTGCTAAAATATTGGCAGTAGCTCATGGACATGTCTTTTTCTTGGGCCTGGTTTGGAAGAGCACCTCACAGACCTTTACAAGACCTGGGTAGCCCCCACAACCTTTCAAAGGTTGAAATCTGCCACGCAAGTGGAGCTTTGCCCGGCAAGCTGTTTGGCAGAAAAACAACTCAACTCCTCCAGCTCCAGCCTTTACATTCAATTATTCTGACTATTTTGGAAAATGGGATATTGATCAAATGAACTCTGATGGTCTTCCCCCATCTTTTACAGACTGACCTTCTTCTGAAATTTTCACGGGCTGCAAACCCAGTAACACACATACTAGAGATGTCTGTTCTAACTCAGGCATGGCGCTTGCCCGGTCCCACATCCTGACTAGTTTCTCCTAGAACCTGTAGCTCTTTCATTTGTTTAGTGGTGTGATTTGGTTGCCAAGTTAAAATTGAAGTTCCCTTCGGGTTAGTGGTAGTACATTTACGATTTACTACCACGATTTGCTCCAGTTTGGTCCTACAGGCATACAGATCACCAGTTTGCTCCTTGGAAATTGGATTCCGTTTCAAGCACTTGTGCAGGATCTTCACACTAAGAAGCTGTCTGACGATTATCTACCTGTAAACTGACCCTATTACAAGTCACAGATGATGGGCTCACAATACCTTTGTATTAGGAATAAATGTATAAAGTAAAATGGCATGAATTAATTTATTTTATCACAGGCCCAAGTCTCTTACAGACCTGTTGTAAACGTTTATGCCAAACTAATGCTCCCTTTTTAATTTATGGTAATTTCCCAACTTCTCTTTCACCTGTTTCTCTGCCTCACTCTTAGTCAATTCAGCAAATGTCGTGTATCCCAGCCAGCTTCTCAAATACACCTTTGATTTGCACTTCAGTCTCAGGTTTAGGTGTGCCATTGCATAAGAATTTAAGCCATTCCTTGTATGTCTCCTACATTCATGTATGCAAACAAAAAATGTCAGTAAAGTTTTACCTGACCCACTACAATTTTAATGATAAATTAAGACAGCAATCACATAACTTACGTTACGTAGTTGTGAATCTGTTCATAAGGCCTAGACTAATATTTTAATATTAATTTCCACAACGGACGTTCACAGTATACCACACTAAAGAGTAAGAAGCCAAGCTGTGCTTGCATCTCCTGGGTGTCATTATTGCAGGCAACTCATGCCTTTGGAACACTGTTTTCCACAGATATCTGAGAATCTTCATGTCTCCTCCCTCTCACACAAACCTCCAGTGCAAGTCCATTAAAAAAAAAAAAAAAAATCTTTGTGATCTTCTCAGTGCTACAAACCCACCATCAGTACCGCCTAGCAGGCGTAATTTAAGGCCTGAGATCTTTATTCGTGGACTTACTTACTTTTGCAAAGATGGCCACAGCTTCTTACATCAGTAAAACCAGGAGATGCCTGTCCGAAGGGACAACCTAAGAGGGGCAGATGGACAAACAAGCTGTCAAGGACGCAGCCCTCGGGATCCGCTTGGGCTGCCAGGCTGGCAAGGGCGGAGGGGCTGTGCCGGAGCGGGGAGCAGCCGAGACCCCGGCCCGCCTTCCCCCCGCTCCTGCCGGCCCAGGCGCCCCCCACCTCCCCGCTGCCCCGGCACCGCTTTGGGGCGGGGAGGGGGGGGGACCGCGGGGCCGCCCCGCCGCTTGCCCCGGGCGCAGCCGCAGGCCGGCGGCGCCTGAGGGAGCCGCTGCGGGCCCCGCGCCGCTCCCGGCGGCGGCCAGCGGAGGGCGCCCGCCCCGCTTCCCGCCCGCCAGACAGACAGACGGACGGGCAGGCAGACCGACCGGGCGGCCGGCCGACGGGGCGGGGAGGCGCGCAGGCCCGCGGAGCCGGTGTGCGCTCTCCGCCCGGCCCCGCGGCCGCGGCCCCCGCCGCGGGGGAGAAGGGGCCGAGGGAGGCGGCGCGTCCCCTCCCCGGGCCGCGGGGGCTGGGAGCCCGGCCGCCCGGGGCTGCCCGCGGGGCGGGGAGCCGCCGGCCGCCGCCTCGGCCGCTCGGCCGAGGCAGGGCTTCGTTCGCGGCATCGGAGTAACGCTCTTCCCTTTTTCTAATTTTTTTTTTTTTTTTTAAGAAAAGTACCCTAGTAGTTTATTTGGTAATTTAACGGCATATGATTTAAATCAATATAAAATTCAAATACTTTTGTGCCACCTGTTGGATTTTGCCACTAATTACATGTGACTGGAAGCACACTTCTGCTATTCAGTGTGGGAAGTATTTCCCATAAATGTTACTAGGTGCCCTTATGAAAATGCTACTTTTTTCTTTGCTGTTTAGAAATATTTTCTCTCTGGGCAGGCAGATAGAGCCGGTTTTCCTCATAAAAATCTAATTCATAAATTACAGCCAGCATTCCCTGAAAGCACAGGGTGATGAGGGGCTGGAGTCAGGGTTCTTGTGATACGGCAGTAATTATTTGGAAGGGTTTTTAACAGAGAAACTGCGGTCTGAAGGCCCGGGAGGTGGAAACGACTGGTTCTAGGCATAGAAAAGCATAAAAATGTACGTGAGGGTGTCTGTGGGCCAGAAAAGGGAGAAGTGCACCAGGCCTGTGCTTTCCCCACGCCTGTGAATATACAAACAAGTACCAACACTACCGCTCAAGCTATCAATCATGGGTGGCCATACAACACAAAGCATGCCACATGTTATACAGTTGAGACTCGCTCAAAAAATAATTTTGTTCGATCCTTCTTCAATAGCTGTCAAGTCATCATGTCAGGACACATTTTTTTTGTAGAAGAATAATCTGATTTTATTTCACATTGCAGTGGCCAGATTTGTTTATTATATAGTAATGTTATTTTAGAATGTCCAGGTATAAATGACCTGCAAATAAAACCACATTCCTAGAAGAATCTGAAAATTAACCAATGATTTCATCTTGATTTCACTGGAACAGATAATTTATGGGTTATTGGGTGTCTTACTTGTTACTCCTTCGCTCCGTATAATCGCGCCTGCAGATACCTTACTGTTCTTTGAGATCAGGAGGCGCAGAAGCATGTACAGCAATGCAAGTACATGAGGAAAGGGTGACCCTCTCCTTCTTCCCAGCCATCGCCGCTGAACTGAAAGCGGGAGGTCCCCATGGTGCCGGCTCCGTGCAGCCAAGGGTGGAAGGCCCTGTTGCCATCTCTGCTTCTCATGAAATGGTGGGTGACTGCCACCCCTCCGAGGGATGGGGAAGGACACCAGGTAACAGACGTGCTCTTCCATGGGGACACCAGAAATAGCTAAAGCCCCCAAATTGCTTTAATTTGCCTCTCACATAATTTCCCCATTTTTAAACAGAAAGCACGCAAGACTAGTAACACGTAAAATTGGGGATTGGGCTTGCTTCCAGTTTTGCATACAAATACAGCCATCTTTGTAGTACATGTGTTTCCACCGTGTCTTCTACTTTTATGCTAAAATGCAAAAGTTTAAAAAGACATGAAGTTATGTTTAATGAAAAAATACACCTGTCTTCAAAACTGTCCGTGGTTTTTTAACCCGAAACTGGCAAAAGGTTAAAATACAAAATTGACTTACAAAATTAGTAAACCATATCTGGCCAATAGTATGTACAATGCAGTATTTGAGTGCTGACATCTGTCAGTCTGATTTGCAAAAGGCCTTGGGGATAACTTTAGCCGACTCTTCTATTATTGAATAGTATTTTTAAACCGACTCCATCGACACCAATTTTATCTACTTTGGATTTTGAGATAACCCTGCTTCAAAATCTTTCCTGGTTTTATGAGGACAATTTTCCACTGTTTGAACAGTCATAAATGGCCACAAAATGTATAAGATGACAGAAAAACACACCAAGTAAAATTAAAGTGTTTACACACCATTATTTTGCTCTTGGCAAGTGCATAAGTGACTTCACAAGATGCAAGTCAGTGCACATTACATATTACACATTGTCTTTTCAGACCAGTCCGTAGGCAACATGAGCACGTCCTGGGGCCCCAGAACAATGGCTGTTTTTTTGTTCAGTTTCTAAAGACTCATAAATAGCATCTCAGAGTTTAGTTCCTAATGTGGTAAAAAAATATGATGGCTTGGACTAAACTGAAACACAATTATTTAAAAAATGCACAGCTGACTTCTCCAGTTTCATTCCTATTAACTTCCCTCTCGTGAATTATATTACTTGTTGTAAATTTATTGCTACGTATTCAAATAAGCCAAGAAGCAGAGAAAACAGTCTTACACCATTTGACATCCTTCCTGCAGGAGGAAAGAAAAAAAAAATAAGCAGATTTAGCTAGTACTTTTAAAAACAACTGTACAAAAGTTGATTAAATCTCTTGTGCAGTGGAATTTAAAATTTAAGGAGCCTTTCTTAGAGTGGAGGAGTCAGTAAAAGTTTGGTCAATGTAAGCCAAAATCCAAAGAGGAGTACGTCAATTAAGGAAGAAACAGTGGTTTTTCAAATCCTCTTTCTTAGCAAACCTGGGTAGATTTCTTTGATGCAGACAAGGTCAAGACAAAAAGGTTTGGCTTGGTATTGACACCAATCCTTTACTGAACGAAGGAAGAACTATGAAAGATCTAAAAGGGGCACCCCACGGTAATGTCAGAGCCCTGCTGAAGTCGTGACACATATGATGTCTCAGCTGCATGAAGTCACAAGGAGCACAAATGCAAACATTCACTGTCGAGGCCGCTGGATCTGTGCCTGGGAGGGAGGGAGGCAGGGAGGGAGGGAGGGATCAGGACCCTCACTTGCTGGCTGGGCGCTTTGCAATTTGAACTGCAGAATGAGGTAGCCCTTTCCAGTGACAGGCAAGCCTGGAGGCGAGCCCAGAGATGGAAGTCCTGCATGAAAAGAGGAAGGAGGGAAGAAAGAAGAAAAAAGGTTGGAGGTTCTCCTACAACCTTAACCTCTTCTTCCTGGCAAAGAGCTTAACGCTACCTGGGTTGTGACTTTCATCAGAAGACATCCTTTTCAATTCTTCCATTATTTTCATTACTGTGCTACAATTTCTCAGCTCACAGCATAATGTTAGTTTTAATGTCTTTATTTTACAGGCCACTCAGAAGGGAGTCAAGTTCCCTTTTTCCATTCCTCTGCATTTCAAAAGCTCTGGGTTTTTTTCTTCTCCCTTTCCATATATTCTTTCAGATTACTCCAGGAGCAACAATTTTGTTAACTGATCCATGTGACACATGGCTTAATCTATGCTCTCTTCCTTAGTTCTAAAGTAGACATTAAAAATAAGCTATGGAGGCAGAGGGGTTGAAAACATATAAAACTCATATATATCTCTTGGAATAACAGGAGTTACATCTGCATCTCAGGCTCCATTTTTCCTGAAAAAGGATTCCAAATTGACTCCAAACAGGCTATAAAATATTTTCAGTAGATGTTGGAAATACACTACTGTGGGCAGAGGTTGGAGAAATGTGCACAGACCATGTAGAAATATATGGGATATAGTTTTCCTGGTTCATAAGGTATACATTTTAGGTGACGGTCTCTGTGTTTCAATAACTGTGGGAGGAAACCTGACTTTAAAATGTGCATCCATCTTCCTAGACAAAAGAAAAGATCAACTTCCCAGAAACTTTTGTCACGGAGTCAATTCTTGCACAATGACATGTAATGCTAAATAAATCATTTTTTGAATTACAAATTGTGAATCCATCACCCTGGACAAATGTTATTCATCTGAGGGGGGGAAAAAAGGGATGACCTAAGAATAATTGTCTACAAGTATTCAAAAGAGAATATGATTTGTCACTCCCATTTTGGAGTGCCAATGCTAAACTTGTTGCCAGCTTTTAAAATCTCTCCTTTGACTTTCAAGTAAAGTGTGTGTGGTTAAAAGCCAATTAGAGAACAGCGATATGATTTGGTGATGCAAGGCAAGTGGCACAGTTTAAAGTGTCGTTAAAAATCTACTCTCTTTACAGACTTAGATTAAGGCCTTTCTCTCCTTTAGTCATGCTTGGATGTCCTATTCAGCGTAGTTACCAGACTGATATTAACAAGAATTAATGTGTAAAAGTAATGCCCTCACTTTGCATTTTCTAACACAGTCTCTTCAGTATAAGTTTTTTTCAGCTGTTTAAAAAGTGCAGTGACCGACTATACATTCAAGCAAAAGGAACTGTTCTCTCTGCCCAAATCCTCTATCACTGCCCTAACTAGCTGTAAGCAGAAGGTTGTATTCTTACCTCTAGTTCACACTAGCAGAATTTATCTGCAAGTGTCAGCAGGAAATAGTCAATTTACCTGACAAATCATAAAACAATATTTTGTGATGTAAAGAAACTTTGGACTCTGCCAATGTGCCAATCAATATGTATGTATGATGAATCATCAAACAGATATTCCAGGGCATGGGGAAAAAAAAATAAATCTAGGCTTGGCCCACATGCCAATCAATCAGAGATTGCCCAAAGAATCATGAAACACATTCAGAGACAAG